GACTAACAGACTAACAGACTAACAGACTAACAAACTAACAAACTAACAAACTAACAAACTAACAGACTAACAAACTAACAAACTAACAAACTAACAAACTAACAAACTAACAAACTAACAGACTAACAAACTAACAAACTAACAGACTAACAAACTAACAAACTAACAGACTAACGGACTAACAAACTAACAAACTAACAAACTAACAAACTAACAAACTAACAAACTAACAAACTAACAAACTAATTTAACAAACAAACGGACTAACAAACTAACAAACTAACAGACAAACAGACTAAAAGACTAACAAACTAACAAACTAACAAACTAACAAACTAACAAACTAACAGACTAACAGACTGAAAGACTAACAAACTAACACACTAACGGACTAACAAACTAACAGACAAACAGACTAACAAACTAACAAACTAACAAACTAACAAATTAACAAACTAACAAACTAACAAACTAACAAACTAACAAACTAACAAACTAACAAACTAACAAACTAACAAACTAACAAACTAACAAACTAACAAACTAACAAACTAACAAACTAACAGACTAACAGACTAACAGACTAACAGACTAACAGACTAACAGACTAACAAACTAACAAACTAACAAACTAACAAACTAACAAACTAACAAACTAACAAACTAACAAACTAACAAACTAACAAACTAACAAACTAACAAACTAACAAACTAACAGACTATAACAAATTAACAGACTGACAAACTAATTAACAAACTAATTGACAGAACTGACAGATTCGCGCAAGCAATGTCAAACGTTATTTGCGCATGCACCGCAATATGATTTGGTATATACATTGATTATTGTCACGACAATATGGCTGCTATCCCGTTACTTTCGCTCTGTTTTATAGTGGGGCCAACACGGTTGACCGGGTACTTGCAGCTGGTCCCTTGCAGCTGGCCAAAGATAGTTGAGAAAAATTTCACTGATGACTATGGAGAACAGTGAAATTTTATCATTGGATTTTATTAGTTATTCCGCCCTTTTATTTTGACCTGGGATAGTCCAGCTTACTTACAGTTGTCCTGGATAAATAAAACAGGATCTTTTTTTGAATTGCGGAAAACCGAGTTAATTCAATGTAGCGCAAATTTATTGGGAGTAATATTATAATATATTTCACTGAGTTGACCCGAAATTTTCGCGGAGGCCTTATTCTGGCTGAATCTTGTCCTTTGATCATTAATAAATGAAGACGTAAATACGGCTTTTGAATAAATCCGGCTTGTCAACCGAAGTATCATCCAACTGTGTCTTGGGTTGGCTGTGGGTCAGTTATGGCTTAATTAAAGGGATGGACGAGAGTGAGGTTTTCAAGATAGTTCAAAATTTAAACTCATTAGTGTTAGAGTTAGGTTCAAGGTGACGGTAAGGGTAAGAGTAAGGGTAAGGGTAAGGGTAAGGGTAAGGGTAAGGGTAAGGGTAAGAGTAAGGGTAAGGGTAAGAGTAAGAGTAAGGGTAAGGGTAAGAGTAAGGGTAAGGGTAAGAGTAAGGGTAAGGGTAAGAGTAAGAGTAAGGGTAAGGGTAAGAGTAAGGGTAAGGGTAAGAGTAAGGGTAAGGGTAAGGGTAAGAGTAAGGGTAAGGGTAAGGGTAAGAGTAAGGGTAAGGGTAAGGGTAAGAGTAAGGGTAAGGGTAAGAGTAAGGGTAAGGGTAAGAGTAAGAGTAAGGGAAGGGTAAGGGTAAGGGTAAGAGTAAGGATAAGGGTAAGGGTAAGAGTAAGGGTAAGGGTAAGAGTAAGAGTAAGGGTAAGAGTAAGGGTAAGGGTAAGAGTAATGGTAAGGGTAAGAGTAAGGATAAGGGTAAGGGTAAGGGTAAGGGTAAGAGTAAGGGTAAGAGTAAGGATAAGGGTAAGAGTAAGAGTAAGGGT